TATGTTATTTTAACAAGTGATAACTTAATTAAATATGTTCTTATATAATACAATTATATCCTAATTCTATCCATTCTATCTTTTTCACAGGCAACCTTTGAAGATCCATCACCTGAGGGCTGTCAGCCAACATTCGAGCCCCTATCCTTTGAAGTGGTTCAAGATGCCTCTAAAAGGGTAGGTGACATCCTTGTAGACAGCCGTGGGTACAGCTACACAAATAAGTATTCTGACAAAAGTGGTATTAACTGGCATTACACTAAAAAAGGAAAGGTTAGTAAATTTCCTACATTTAGGATACTTAATAGGATGATTTTTGCAATGTACTTCAGTTCTCTTGACATGTCTTTAAGTTTCGAATTTCATAAGTGGTATTACTAGATTATTGATAGTATATAAACTGTGGTATACCTGTCGACTGGTTTTCCACATAAAATAGAATCAAAAAATGGATTTTTATAAAATAATTGTTGTTATATAGGTCGCTTCATGCAAAGCTATATAAATAAAGAAAAACTTGAAATTTATTTGTTCTCCTCTTGAGGTGTACGTCAAAATTTCGAAGTCATCACAGGCTTGAATTACAGGTTTCTGGGAAATCTGCATGTGCTTGTGTTTTTAACGTATGAAACCGGGATTATGACTTAACTACGTGCGGTACAGGTTCAGGCAGGTGTTGTAAAAAAGTATGCTTAGCTTTTTCATTAGTAAACATTTCTTTTTCTAAGAATCTTGATTATCCAGCCTATGCTGAATTCTAATTTTTCAACCAAATTTTATTTTGATTATTCTTAGATCTCCTAGTGTCAGTTAATATTCATGTAATTAAAATAATTACATGAAATCTTGCAGATGTAGGGCAAATTATTTTTTCCTCTGATCCTACTAAATTTTTATTATGCATAGGGATTGGTATTGGCTATGAAAGTATGGTCAAATTTAAGCTTTGTGCACAGCCTGTGCATCAAATTTATGTATTAAAATATTGTATCCTTCTTAAAACTAGTTTATCAGAATGAGAATGAGTTATTCTATCAGGCACAAGTATGGCTTTCACGACGATAGTTTCCAGGCTGGAAAAAAGTCGCTGCCTACTAAAATCTTCAGTTCCTTTGCCCTGACAGCCCAACCTTATCAAAACATTGCCAACATGAGCGATTAGCAAATTAATAAAACAGACAAGAGAGCCTATTCCCATACACACCCTCCTCAATCCTGTTAGCTTATTATGAACATGGCATTTCTAACATGGTGTATCTGCCGCAAATTTTCCAAAACATCAGGATAAACAACGAAGGTCCTAAGCGGTTTTAAGATAACGCTGACTAGCATGCGTGTTGATCGCTTTGCCAGTTGTGAGAACATCGTCCCCAGGTTTCAGACCTCGTCAATTCTTCCTCCCCCCTCCCTACCCCTCGGACTGGTCCTTAAATCCCCTTGAAGAAACTGTTATACAGCCAGTGTTGAAGAGTTTTATTACAGTTTTTATTCAGAATAATGAGGGGCTGGAAAATACATTAACAAGAGCTCCACTTTTAGGCTTGGCTAAATCTATCTATTATTTATGTAACAAGGCTAGTACTGCATGAGCAAAAGGGAACCTCGTTTAATGTATGACAAATTTTGTTTTGATGCGACTTCCTTGTTCGAAATCTGGACGCCAGAGTGGAGCTCCGCCATTACCAGTCGCTTTCACCAAGGTTTTTTTTTTTTTTCTTTACAGAATGGTGCTCTTTCTTCATGAATAACGAGTCCCAAGATGAGTGGTTACCGCGAAAATTTCCCCAGGGGACTCGCTCAGGTACGAGATTATGATACCTTCCTGATTTATTAACTTTTACTTGAAATTACGTTTTTCTAAATAACTTAATTAATTTTATTGGCATTCTACTGAGTTGCAAAAGTAATAAACGAGAAGTTACACGTACAAAAAAAAAAAAAAAAAAAATTGCCAAAAGGGAGTAACGAACGGGACGTGAGTACCCATGCAAGGAAACTCCCTAAAGGTGCTTTTGGAGAGTTTAAAACTTTTTTCGTTGGAAACGTTGGGTAAAATGTTTAGAGTCAGCGATTCAGTCTTACAGAAGAAAAGACTATTTTTTCAGTTTGTGAAGGTGGGAAGTAACCATAAACAGATGTTTGTCTACTTCAAGTAAGAGACGACTTGAAACCTATGGAAAATTCAGTTCTGTTTCTGATTTTCATTCAGTTAAAACCGGATTGTCTAAATGTTGTGCTGGTGATATTGGGGCATTAGATTGAAAAAGTAAATGATTCAGTTTTTATCTTCTTTTCTACGTGGCTTCGCTCCAGCAAAACAAGGAGGGTATCGTTTTGGTTGGGAATCAATGCGACTATTCGTCACCAGAGCCCTTCTCGTGGATCTGGTAACTAGAAGGTTTAGAGACTCTGGGAACGAGAATGATGTTGCAGTAATTTTGTCTCTTACGTCATCAACTAATTAGTACAAGCTGGCACCTTGTTATGAGGTTGTCATTCTGTGAAATGACAACATTTGTTTTAGGAGATTTCGGTTGGCTTCAAGAGATAATGCTGACACGAAAAATTACGAAGTACATTTAGTGGATGGGTTTCACAAAGAATCAATGATAATGCCTTAATGTATCTAATTTGGCTCGTATTACACGGTTTGTAGCTATTAAATATTCTGTAACCGCGGAATTCAATGAAAACAATAACTTTTAATTGCTAAGTAAGCGAGTGGTTGAATTTACATTGATGGCGTGTAAACGAAATGCACATATTCGCTTTTTCGAGCGGCAAAATGCATGACTAACTCTGTGTTATGAAGTGCAGTTGTACTCTAATTAAAAAGTCACAGGTTCTTCATAACCGGACCGGGAAAAACAACTACTCGTCTTTTGAAGAGTTGATTAGTCCTCAAATAGATCTTTGGTGTATTCAAATTGTATTTAACATCTCTGATCCTGTCAGTCATCCTCCTCACAAAAGATGACATTGTCATGTTAAGTCATGTCTCACTTTTTAGCTGCAATATTTAAGTGAATCTTTCGACAGTCGACAGTTGTCCTCGGTGGCAACGACCACTGAGAGCACGGCAGCGTTTGACATTTAATGTCCTTCGTTCAGTGGCAAGTTACACCATATTTTAGCGTCTTTTGAGTCCATGAGTCCGCCTTCCTGTTCAGCGATGGAGTTTCACCAACATGGAACCGAAATTTCGTCCCCAAACGAACCGTTCAAGAACCTGTCTTTTACTACGCTATCGAGTTTGGAATTTGAAGCACTGAACAGTCTGGATGAAAGCATACGATATCACGAAACGAACGCTGTAGATGAGAACATCCAGTCTAGCAAGGAGCTGGGGAGACATGACAAGAAATTAGAGAACAATGATGTGATGTTGCTGGAACCTCCGAACCAAGCTACTGCAACAAGGCAACCAGGAAAACTAAACGCTGGATTTATCTTGTTTGATGGAGCTGAAATGAAATATATTTCAAATGACGGAAAAGATACAGAAACGCTATCAAAACCGCCGGAACAACCCAACACGGACGGAAGTTTCCGAAGCAAAAGTTCCGAGTGTTCTACAAACATTTCCGATCAACCAGCGTATTTGAATTTAAGCTCTGATGACTTAGTGGTGCGGGAGTCCTTCAATGACAAGAATTCGCGAATTTCGCTGACACCCTACAAAAGGCTGCCAACCTATGTTCATTTTTCAACACCACAAAAATTTTACTTGCTCTCTATTGGTGCAGCTACCGTGTTAGCAGCGAACGCGTTTTACATGAGTATTGCGTTTTTCCTTTCATTCCTCGGAAAGCAAGGTTTGTCAGAAATAGGTAAGTTGTTCAAAAAATCAGAAAAAAAAGTTGAATTATGTATGGGTAGTTCTTCGTTCTTTCATATTTGATTTGTTTAATTTTTCACAGGTAAACATACGTGAAAACAGCAGGAAATCTGCCCGATTCCGCTTGTGGGAATTTACCAAACACGCGCTGTTTGAATTTTCTCCAAATTAGAAAAATTTGTCTTTAGGCTCATTCACCTTTTAAAATAAACTGTACAAGTTCAGACGATTTGATATTACGAAAATTGATTGAAATGGGCCTCGCTGAAGTCTTTGTATTTCTATAAATAATCCACAAATGCTTTGTTTATATGACAACAGCAGTTTCAGATGTGCGAGGCAATTCACACATCACATCTGCTAGCCCTATAGGCGTCAAACACACTAATATCGTGATCAAATTATCATTATGTAGATGTCGTCTTTACGGGATTTTCTTAATTCCTGTCTAAGGGTTTCTCATTGAGTAATTTAACGTAAGCTTTTTAACACTGTTCACGCTATGAGGCTTTTGTTTAGTAAACCCTTTTTTCTGAAACGTACGCCGTAATATAACTCAAGCTGAGACAAAATATCAGTGACGTTTATGCGACAAGGTTGAAGGACAGTTCTGACGTTTTTGCAATTCACTAACATGTGTCATAAGTTGTTAGTCGGTAATTCGGTTCTAGTGAGCGAAATTAGCATTTAAAGATCAATTTCATTCACTCCCTTTTATTGGCAGCTTAAAGTAAACAAAACGTAGAAAAGGAAACAAAGAATTGACGCTAAACTTCAGCATAACTTTTAGAAATGTGACAATAATATGTACTCAAAAACGGAAGAATATTATCATATTGTCGAAGCAGAAACAATATTTTTTTCAAACAAACAAACCACGAATTATATTGAGATATAAGTATGGATCCTTGAATTAAATAGCCATACATAACACCTAACAAGTTACAAACAGTTTCATCTGTTTTAGATTTCTCATCAGAGAAGACGAAAGCAAATCAACAGGAAAAAGAAACAGAGAATTGCAAAAATAAACAATTATCATTGAGGCGTTTGAGAGGCGATTCTAAAATCAATTCCTGGGCGCTAATAAAGTCAATTTTATTTTTTTTATTTAGGAAAAAAAGCCACAAACGACAAGTACCTCTGAAATATACGACTATTTGTTGCGTGAACCATTTCCTTTTTCGCATTTTTACGTAATCAACCACGTAAGGACTTGGGAATTTTTCACTACAGTGAGTAAATTGTTTTGCTTTTTATTTCTTCAGGAATTTGTCTTCACATTCCGTTTCTAGCCTCCATTTTGTTGACACTGTGCGGTAAGAAACACTGGGTACCATTCCTCCCGACTGTTCCCATCTGCCTCGTTTTGATGGCTGCCTCTGTGGCCGTACTCCCGTCTCTTACGGCAGCTGGGATTTCGCTGTCAATCTTTGTTATATATGGTGTAATAACAATCAATGGTCTCTGTGCAGGTCTCAGCCAATCATTAGTCAATCGTATGGTTGTGTTGTTTCCTGGCGGGAAAAGCAGCTTGCTGGTTCGCTATGGTGAAGGTAGGTGGCAAATTTGAAATAGGAGAATAACTTGAACTACAGTATAGAGACTATGGAGGTGGAATTTTAAGTGCTTGCCGGTCATCAGAATCGTCTGTAAGATCTTCCTGTCCTTAAAAAAAGAATTCCTTCGTTTTAAGCGAGATGCGAAAACACCGGTACTGGCCGAACTGACTGATCTTTGAGTAAGGTTTGTTAAATTTCTTTTCAACCGCGCTGGCAGAATACGCTCAAAATTCGAGACAGCCAAATATTTCATTACACATAGAAAAAAGACTGGGCAAATCCGACAACCATACTCGCGAGGAGTGAATTTTTGCTCTACATTTACATCAGCATTAGCAAACCACTAAAAACACCATGTCAACAATTAAATTTCCTATGAGCATGTCTATAATGAATTTTAATATATATGTAATCAAAGCTTTGATTCTGTAATAGAGCAACTTTCAATTGAGTGTCGAAATCATATTTGTTTCTTCAACTGCAGCGCACATATATGATTTTCTTATATTTATTGATATTATTCACCACTTGGAAGGTTTATTTGGACCCAGTTGGCTTGTTAGCTCAGTTGGTAGAGTGCTGCACTGGTATCGCGAAGGTCATGGGTTCAAATCTCGTACGGGCCTGAATTTTTTTCAGGCCTTATTTCAACTACTAGTTCAGTGGTGTTCATAACTGCAAAGATCGCCTATATTCTTAACTTTGATTTCCTTTTCCAGGTCTTGGTTCTTTATTACCAGCAGTGGTTCAACTAATACTGTGTCTTTACCTTGGAATAAACTTCACCGAACCAAAGCTGACTGACTCAACCACTCTTTGTCTTTACGCGTTGTTTGGTGTCGTGTTCCTTGGAATCATAACAGGACTGGTATCATTCTTAAAGCTACGTAAAAGTGGGATATATGAACTATTTGCGGCTCGTGACTGCATTGCTCACAGTCCTAAGAATATAACATTAGGATCTGTCCCAGAAACAGCTAAAAGACGGTACCACACAGTAAAGTGGTATTTACTTGTGGAGTTTACGCTCTCATTTACAAGTTACTTTGTGCTGTCTTTTGCACCGTCTATTCATGAAGCGACCTTCGAAAGTCCACAATCAAACACTGAACCTTTCTGGAGAGTCTATCTGGCTACAGTTTTGATCGCATTTTTCAGAGCTGGTCATTTTTTTGGAGAAGTTCTATCTCGTCTCTGCTACAATGTACAGCTAAAACTCGACAACGACGTTAAGATGTTCCTATATTTATCAGCGTCAATTCTTCGCCTTGGTTTTATCATCTGTGCCGTGATTTTCACTCGTTCTCCTTTCTTAGTCTATAACAATTTGTTCATGATAGGTTTCTTCTTTATGTTAGCTTTCACAAATAGTTTTCTGTCCGTTACCATGGCATCAAGTTGTCAGTCACTGATCAGGGTACAGCGAAACGACACATGCCCCATAGTGTCGCAGTTACTCTGGATTGCAGAAGTACTGGGGGCAAATGTTGGTATTGCCTTATCATTCGTACAACTGACAATTTAGAGTTAACAGAGCCCATAATAGTCAGATTTGAGACTCGTACTGATGATGACGCAGAATAAAGATCCATGGGACCTGCCTGTGTAACTCATTGATTGAGGACTTCAAACGAAAGTTACAACCAGATCGTGACAATGCTTAAGTTTCTATGCTGCGCCTTAAACAGGCTTAAAGACACTTTTCCTCTGCTTTAGGTGAAAAAGCATAAATGAGCTGACCTCAGCAAAATAATGACATAAGAAATAACAGACATAATATACTTAAGTCTTTTATTGCTAGAAATTAGAAAAAATGTTTATGTACAGGCTTTAACGTATAATGGAAAATAAAAGTCTCACGAAACTTTTAAGTTTAATTCACTAAAAAATGAGTAACACGAAATCAAACTTACACCAACAACTCTATATTCTCTAAAAAACGATGAACAAGCTCCTTTTCATAAGTTTAAAATATCTTTATTTCTCTTAGTTATCACAGAGCCCCTTGTCGATAAAAGATTCATTGTATTCTGAGTTGATTTTCCCCCAAAACAATACCATAAAGCTACGAGTTCGATGCTGCTAAAACTGATTCACACAGTAAGTTAAAACAGTCCCTTAATTTACATTTCGGGCTAATGAAATCACTCAAGAATAATAAGATAAACCATACGTACAGCCAGTTTGACAAGTAAGCTTGTCACGTGCTACTAACACGCCTTCGGTTTGATTTTCTTTGCGAGTTGATTCTTCCCTTCTTCGATATGGCGTCGTTTGCTTTATTTTTACTCGTTACATTTGGATTGACATTTTCCTCGTCATTCCAATCAATTCCTCTCTGGCAATCCTCTTCCTCTTCGCCGACGTCAAATAACTCTATGCTATCGTCCTCGTCGCTTTCAAACGAAGGCATTTTTCGCCGTTTCTGATTGGTAGATTTTTCTTTTCCAGCCTTCGGCGGTCGAGCAACACTGCGAGGGGTCTTGAAGGGCATGGGACTCGGATCTTCAACGTCACTGTCGTCGACAGTTTTTGGTTGCCGTTTTTTGGTACCTGGCGTGCGACCTTTAGGGCCTCGGCTTGTCTTCGCTAAAAAATAACAACTTCGTTTAGGTAATGCTTCCGAATTCGCGAAAAGATTTGTAGATATTTTTTGTGTACTTACCTTTTGCGATCGTTTTGATTGCAAAAAAAAAAGAAAGAATCTCACACCGGTGTATCACATACAGCAAACTAACAACAAGTTGAGCTATTTAAAAAAAACAAAAACAAAACAATACAAAAAACGCTCACCTGCAGGGGTAGCTGCACTCTTTTTAGGTTTGTTTCCCGTTGCCGCTCCTACGGCTTTGGAAGCTCGTTCATAGTCCTCCTCGTCTTCCATTCCCTTTGTGTGACAAAAGTTAATGCGCTGTTCCAATTCATCCACTAGAGCCTGTTGACAAGGAATTGAAAAGATGAGCTCTCTCTTCCTATCACCGTACACTACTTTACTTTGAGTGGAGAGTCTAGTAATTCACACATTTTATGACTGCAGAGATTGACGACGTGTTGTGGAAAATCAACATCCGACGTAAAAACGGTCCTCCGAAAAGAACGTATTTCTATTACTCGCCAAAACACCAAAAAAAAAGGCCAATGAGCGGCAACAAAATACCACAAAGAACCAATGAAAACCATAATTACATACCTGCAATCCCACTGGCATAAATTTTACAACTATTTGGGTGAGAGGATTCCGCGACTTTTCCCGACTAATCACAACGTGAAGAAAAGCAAAACCGATGCAATATCACAACATAATCTTCTTTGCGTTCAAAATTCCCTTGGATTCATTTTTTGCGAGATAATTAGAGTAGAGCTGGGGTGAGGCTCTGTACTGACGCTTTCCTTACCTTCACTTCTGGTTTGGCAAACTTCTTGCTTTTCCCGACAATGTTCAGGAAGGAGTGGTACACATCTTCCTCGGCCAGTTTATCGTGGAAGCAAGAGAAGTTCTCCTGCAATTTGCGGATTCCTCGTTCGTTGTACGACAGCATGGACAGACAAAAGGCGAGGTCACGCCACTGACGATCGGTCCTGATTGAAAAGAAGATGCAAAGGGAAAGGTGCTATCAAGAAAAGAGGATAGTGTAGTTTTTGTCTCCAAACAGCTCAGAAATGAATGATGCCCGACAGGGAAAAAAGGTTCCGAGTGTGGTTGTTAAAATACAGACAGGTTCTTAAAAACTATCCGATAAACTAAGGTGTATCTGAGGTTCCGAGTCTACGTAACCCCTGTTTGATTACACATCATGATTGGACGTTTAGATTTTGTCACTTCATCTGATTTGGTTTCCTATCAATCACCTTTTTGGTCTCGTCATGCAACGTACTCTCTCTCTTAATTAATGGTTGGTGAAAGAACATTTTCCTAATCGTTTCGGTTTATTCTTACGAATTTAAAGAACTTTTTCTACGTCAACTTGGTTTTACTTCCAAGGTTACTAGTTGTTCATAGGGATGCCTCTATTTTTACACCTCTGCTTACGTGTTTAGTTCAAATGGTTGTTAAGTTTTTTTGCAATGCAAACAGCGTACTTACTTAGTTGCTCTGAATCTGTGACACAGTTTCTCCACAAGGCTCTCAGACTGACGATCTTTCTGGATAAAGGACAACAAGTACCTGTGATATAATAAAAAAAGAAAAAGATTGAATAGGGTATAGAGATGCACTATCCAAGATGAGCTTGACAAGAATATCACCACCTGGGGAGGGGTAAAAAGAACTGCGAAAACATTTTCCGTTGAAGATCCACGTTCGACGCCTAAGGTTCCCCGGTAGGAGCGAAGATGGTCTGATCTATCTTTTGATTTATATTTCAATATGTAATTACGATTATTACGGTCGCGAAACAAATTATTATACAAATTCATCCTGTAAATCTTCATACCTCATGATGTTTCTGAAAGGTTCCTCTTCAGTACCACAGTCGGGGTCTGATAAACGACTAATCACGTCTGGTAGAATATTGTAGATAGCGTTGCCCTAAAGCGAACATTTGCCTGATTACAGGTTTTGTACCTTTTTTCAGAAACAAAATTTAAAGGACCTTTCCAGGATCTCGATCGATTTTTCCAGGACTCTAAATTTCACCTTAAACCCTTTCATTTCCAAGATTTCAAAATCAGTTCTCCTCACGGTCTACACACATTTCTAACAACCTCTGAAAGCTGTATTGCTTGAAAATAGAATAAGAGAGATGGGAAGTTTTGAGCTCGGTAAAGAAATAGAGAAAGATGCTTTTCGTCTTGTCACGAGCGTGGGACAAAGAAAAAATTTCTGAGCCCCCCGATTCGATTCCTCACGGGAACTCAGAAATTTTCACTTTGTCCCACGCTCGCGACAAGACGAAAAACATCTTTCTCTGTATTTCTTGAGTTGCGCAGATTTCCAGGACTTTCCAGAACCTGTAGTCTTTTTTCCAGGTATTTCCAGTCCTGGAAAATGTTAGGATAAAACTCCAGGCCTTTCCACGTTTTCCGGAACCCTTACAAACCCTGTGGTTATACTATGAGAAATACTTGCTGCGTATTAGCTTATCAGTGTGAAATGGAAGCGTGTGCACCTTGAAGTCACATCATGAGTGAGAGATGTGGTGAAATTAGCGGGTATCACGATCTCGTACATGATACTTGTGTTACATGTCTCAACTCAGTGATTTTAAGTAAAGGAAATGATAAATGACTGCTCGTGCTAGTCTTGAGTTCTGAAGCTTTCAAAGTTGATTGTTCAGATTAGTATGTATAACGCTATTTCTTGTATTGGGGCAGTAGAGCTTAAAGTTAAATAGGAGTAACCTCAAATTGAAAGAATCTTACCTTTTTGGACAATTCCAAAAAGAACAGTTTGGCCAGATCGGATATTCTACTGTCTTTGTCCTCTAAACACGTGGCCATCTCACTGATCTGACCTTTGACCTTGACCATGTCATTCAGAATTAGATGCGTGAGCACCATCAGCGTGTTCTTACGCACGTGGCTAGACTCATCGCGCAATCTACAATGTACCAAAAAAAAGTTGTCACGGTTGGCTTCTTAAGTCTAGAATGAATTTTCCCCCCATAGTGGCACGGGAAAGGCAACCGAATAATGGTTGGTTTCTTAACCGTTTCAACAGTTTTTCATTGACATTTTGCAGTTTGTACTTCGATAATCGTAAAGTGTTAGTGACATTTTTCAGAAAGAAAAGTGGGTGACTACTAAACACTATTAAAATTACTTTTTAGGAAATGTATGCCATTCAGGTGAAGTTTTTATCCTTTAACCCCTGAGAGTGACCAGCATCTAATTTCCTTACTGAATCACACATCAAGGTTAGGAAGATAAAGGAAATGATCGCAAGCTAAAGAGGCTCTTGATTATTAAACAAATTCTCCTTGTCCGCACCCTAGGAAACGTATATAGAACGGCATGGAGAACATGCATATTGATGTTAGTGTGTAAAGGGTTAGTAACACGAGGGGTTTCGTCACCTGGCGTACAGATGAGGTGTCCATGGCTCAATCAGGTTAGGAAACCTAAACGTCAGGTCACCAACGGCAACTATGGTGTTTGCTCTGATAGTGGCTTGTGGAGCCTAAAAGGCACACAAAAGTAAACAGGTTCTTAAACAGGTTTAGAAAAAAATGAATTTTTTTGCTTTGATTCAGCAGTTTTACCAAAGCTGTTAGTCACCTCGTCAATTGTTTACTGCAAGATATGAGTATGTATATGACGTACTAAACAAAGCAAAATTACCTTTTCTAGAATCGTGAACAGAAGTTGGAGATGCTCTTCGCAAAACTCAGAGCTGAAACAAGTAAAAACATAAAAATTAGTTGATAGTTTGGAAAAATGAAACCTCGTGGCTGCAACATACAGCTAATGCAAGACAAAGTACGCTTCCACAACAATGTACAGAGAATTCAAGCTGACAGACCTACTGTGCTGTTAATTATGATGAATATTTATCCTCACAGAGACAGTTTTGCCAAAATCTATATGAATAAGAAGCGATTTAAACATGTCGTTTCACTCTTCATCTTTTCCTTTGGCGACCAGTTTTTTTTTTCAATTTCATATCTCATAAATCAAGAACTGGTAAAACAGTTCTTAGAAATGAAACTTACTGGCTTTTATTTTCTCTTGTTTTGAAAGACTTAAAAGAACTGAAAATTAGAAAGTATAGCACACTGCGTTGCGAAACTATCTGTCGAAATGACCGCCTTGTTTTACTTACGAAAGAACAAATGGATGTTTGTTTTCGGGGGGAGGGGGGGAACAAATTTGGCGTAGAACTATGGGATATGATTGATTAGAGTTTAGCCATGAACTTACCTGACCAACATGAATTTAGCAAGAGCTAATGACGCAGCGGCTCGCAAGTTTGTATCACTGAACTTTACAGGATTACTGCAGACATGCACTAACAGTGGGCGCAAGGTGGCCAGTAGCGTACCACCTGAAGAATCCAAAGTTATAAAGGAAATATGCTCATTGAACAACATTTAGTAAGCCCGCTGTGGGAACTACAGTAATATTTAAAAGTTCCTAGTGGATTAGAGAGCTACCACCTCTAATTTGTTTACAGCTGCCTATACATATAAGAATAAAGGGGTAAGTTTCTAAAGAAACTGTGGTGCTGCGTCGGTGGGAGAGTATAGCAGGTAATTTAGTGTTAACAACTGGGTTGAAAACGTAAATTAGCCACCGTAAAGAGTAAAAAATAAAAAAGCTGACGTTTCGAGCGTTAGCCCTTCGTCAGAGCGAAGTTTTGAATCGCTCTGACGAAGGGCTAACGCTCGAAACGTCAGCTTTTTTACTCTTTACGGTGGCTAATTTACGTTTTCAACCCAGTTGTTAACACTAAATTACCTGCTATACATATAAGAAACTGTTTTAGCTTGGTTAAAATAATCGGTTTGTGTAAATAAGTGATGTTATCACTTATTAATTATGCTAATAAAAAATATTTCCCTGCCCTCTAATCACTCTCTCTTTCTCTCTATAAAGCATAGCGCTACAAAATAAAACGAATCAAACTCTCCATTTTATTACGAGCATTATTTGAATCGGTTGCAAACAACCTCTTCCCCTGTTTTGTTGTGAACACAACATGAGCACGTTTTGAGAACATTACTAAAACGACGCAAGGAAATTATAAACAAAACAGCAAACGATCTGGATCAATGTCAGTACATGAGCAACTGCGCACATACTCCTCTCCTAACCCAACAGTTAACTGATGAATAATAAATTGGCTTCCGTTTTGAGTTTTAAAGATAACGTTTCAAGCGTTAGTCCTTCGTCATCGCTCTGACGAAGGACTAACACTCGAAACGTCGGCTTTGAGACTCAAAACGGAGGCAAATTTACTTTATCAACTCAGTTGATAAGACCAAAATACCCTGTTATACTCTCCCACCAACGTTTCTTTAGAAACTTACCCCCTTTATTGATAACTGTTAATGCTGGGTTTGTGAAAAGTGAGTGCGCAGTTGTTTAGATACTGATAAAGATCAAACTCATCAGACTGGTTGGTATAACAATGTAAATTAAACCGCACAACTTGTCCAAATATGTGTACGTCATACCAGTAACAATCTCGTGTTCACAGATTTTTCTCACATATTCCGTCTCCACGTCATCGGCTGTGGCCCCAGTCAGCCCCAGTTCCTCCTCGATCGTCTCTGACGCACCTGGATCCTTAAGGGATTCAAATAAAACATGTTAATGTATGTAAATAGATATATTCAGCTCAACCAGAGCTTGTTAAACATTTCTGCCCATCAAAAGGTCCTGCATTTGCCTAAGAAGTTTGACTCACGGGTCAGTGCCATCTTAACCTTGAAGGGCAACTAAAACTGTCACATTGTTGCAATTAAATTGTTAATAACAGTTCTAACAACTGTTCTGCTAGGGACTTCCCAGTAATGCTCTACTACCATTCCTATCTGTCCAACCCACTTTGCACCTTACCTTTGTGGAATTAGCAGTGCACTCGCTCCCAGCTCCTCTCGTCTTCTTAGCCTGTTTCTCTTTCTCCTTATCATTCTCTTCGATCACCTGTCGTCGTTTGATTTCCCCCAGGACTCCCACATCCAAATGAACCATGTGACGCAAGGCCACGTGACCAGACAAGCTGAAGAATCGCGCCAAAATACCAGCCTGGCACGTGGCTGGAGAATTTCCGGCGTGTCTGTCTGTATCAGAGTTGCTTTCTACAGAATCTGAAAAACCATATAAAACAAACTTCATTTCAAACTCAACAAAGTTGCTCGTTAAAACGGATAAATTCGAAACCAAGCAGTTCGAAGCCTCTTTCTCAAGGCAGCACACGACTCAGGTTGGATCACGTTGGCTAAGAAAGTGGCGCGAGTTTTCTGCACCAATAGCAGAGAAAACTAAAGCAAAAACAAAGGGAGCCAGGATTATTTTTGACAGTGATTGAAACTTTCTCTTTTAAGTGATAATGAGTAACTAAGGTAGTTTTCCATTCCAGTTCACGATAACTTTAAGCTACGCGGAGTAATAACGGATTTACGTATAAATTTCAGCCAACAGCATCGCCAATAAAACAGTGGAAGGGAAAGCAATAGTTGACCAATGTTATTATTAAGCAAAGCTCTATGTATCTTGAGATTTCACACAGTTAATGACAGGTCATCAGGGGTTTCAATAACCTTTTTCCATAAGCGGCTACCAATGGTGTAATAGGCAGCTGGGCCGTAAGGTAAAACCCAAACACGAGAGCCTGCGAGCAGGCTAAACAGACAGCGGTGATGGGTCTTAGAGGCAGCGGCGGACCGCTGCTGACTGACTTTTATTGAAATCGCTCGGCAATTTTACAGTTGTGTAATTGTTTGTCAAGCGCAAGTCTTGAAACATCACACAACGTATTTACCGTTCTGATTGTTCCGTGGTTCCTCCTTATCTTGTGTAGTTTTATCCAGTAAACAAGCTGCTATTTTCTTGATAACATTCTCTGCGATTGTTTCAGGATGTTCAGCAAGGACATAAATCACAGTTATTGCTTTTTCCATTAACGGAGTCCAAACCAGTTGATCAAGCTTGCAAACACCTAGAAATGTTCACATAAACTCATGAGCAAAAAAGAGTTGTGCGCAACCTTTGAACAAAAGTTAGTTACCTTTCGATTAAGTGTCGAATCCGAGGAAAAGGAAAATACCATTAAGAGCCAATGGGGGCTCAAAGTAAAAACAACCAAACTGCCTAATAATAATAATAATAATAATAATAATAATAATAATAATAATAATAATAATATTATTATTATAAATATTAATAATAATGATAATAATAATAATAATAACAACAATAGCAATAATAATAATAATAATGTTATTATTATTATTATTATTATTAATAATATTAACAATAATATTAATTTTAAAAATATTGTAGAAGAAAAATGTATCATTAACCAAACTACCAGTTGGTTGGTAAAAAATTACCGTTCCCCTCTATTTTTTTAATGAAGTTAAAAAGGAAATGTCTGTATCACCATCAGCCGTCATCTACCTTCGTACAAACCTGATACTAGTATTTCTGTGAGCCGTTCAAATATCGTGTGCTTGGGAGGAAGTCGGAATGGTTCTGCTGCACTGCAGCCGGGTTTCTACATGAAAAACAGACAAAGAAACAAACTTTAACCACGTATACGAATTATAAGTAAAACATCAATAAAAGTACATAGAAACCCTTTTCTTACCATTAAATTATTTTGCAAATATCAAAAGATCGAGATGAAGATCCACCAGATTTCTCCCTCCCCACCCCCCCCCCCAAAAAAAAGAGACAAAACCCCCAAGGACGACAAGAAAAATACAAAATAGGGAAACATGAAAAAGCGATGTTTCGCAGTTGAGAAAGTAGTGTGAAACTAAAATTAGCATCTGCTCCAAACATCATCAGCATCCAACTCAGTTGGTAAGAGTAACTCGCATACCTTATGGGTTTGGCCAAGTTTTAATAAAGCCACGCAGGTGTCACGTGCCAAGAGAAAGTCCTCTTCAGCTCTTGGTCCCAGGCCCGTTGCGACCAGCACGTCAATGTTAGTACGAACTATGTCCATCTCAGCTCTAGAACACAACCAAGGATATTTAAGAACATGAAAGTGAACATAAAGACAGCAGAAGAAAACTACTGATCAGAAATTTTATACCAATCGCAAATTCTTCTTCACTTCTGTTATTGTCAAGAGTACTTATCATAAAAATAACAATTGTTTTTGCATACGTTCGATTGCGAAAACCTTGACCCCTAAAAGAATGATTCATGAACGATGAGACCCAACGGCTTCATGGAAAATGCTTGCAAGGAAACATAACTAGTGATTCATTTTTTCTCGTTATTCATGGAAAATATTTTGGAAAACTTGGATAGCTTCCTTCATTCACTAAAAGCAACAAATGGAGGCCATGTGCAGCTTGCCCATAATGCCGTAGGGTCTCATAGTTTATTGCAAACGCCTCTAGGTGTCGACGTTTTCGCAATCAAGTGTATGACGCAGAACCAATAAGATCTTACCCTGCCAACATTCCCAAAAGAACTAACGCCATTCTACTTTCCTCTTGAGTGGTCTGTGGATCCTGAAAATGAGATCACCGGATTGCTTATTGTACAGAAGCAAAAGCCCCTCTGCATAAGGAAAGCGATATACATCATAATCTTTACACGGATGTAATTCAAATCTAATTTTTAATGATTATGCTATCCGGATAACCCTCTGTAACCCCTCTGAAGTCCTAGTTTTAGCCTTCCACGAAACTTCAAAATAAAAAGATTTGTCAGAACAATTTCAGATCAGCATGTGACACTGTTACTTTGAGTGTTAGCTACGATCTAAAACAACAAATGTCTTTAAGCTGAAAGTACCTTCGTGCCTCGCGATAAAAAAATGGTAATTGAAGGGTTCTGACTAGTTTAACAAATACAACGTGTGAAAACAACGCATACCACCCTAACACAAGACACTGAATAAAGGTTTTATGCAAACTTTTGCATTTTTTACCTTCATGGTGAATTTCTCCCACAGTAATTTTATAACGGCAACAGGAATAAGTTTTCCTTTCATCAACTCACTCATCTATGAGAAAGAGATTTGAAATATTTGAAAGCTACCTCAATGATTTTTCAGCGAACATTGCAAATTTGCAAATGAATCAGGAAATCGAGGTGATGCCATCTCAAACTTGTACAGAAGTAATGGTAACTAAACCTACCAGCTCCTCAAGAGAAGTCAAATCACCCATTGAAGCACCTTGAGTAAGAGTGATCAGGTTTTTCACAATTAATGCTGTTTTAGTTCTGGAATAAGAAAGGATTACAAATCATGCACAAAAAATTTCACTTACAAGTGCTGAAAAGGATTAAGTTATCGGTAAACGTACCTCATGCTTCAAAGTTACGAGGGGAATACGCACTTTACCAAGGAAAAAATTACAGGTAACAAAAGTAATCCGCAGGACTGTTGTAAATAACTTTGGTTATCGTTTAAGGACACTCAATCGAAAAGTTATCTAACTTCTCAGTACCTGATATATTACAGAAATGCTACTAGCCAATCAGGAAGCATTTTTCGGAGACGGCGTGGTACTTCTTACACACGTAACTATAAAATTTCTGATTTACTTCCTGGAAATCCCGTCATAATTTACACCTCATAACCATTCCTCAAACTTAAGTCATCGCGTCGCTGTAGAAGCCTTTTTTAATGAGTGTCATAAGACCAAAATCAAAGTACATGTATTCACAACAGCCTGTTATAGGAAAGGTTAAAATTGTAGAGATAAAAACAGTGATCGCTCTAACTAATATTCGAGACGGCAATAAGTTGTGAATAAATGTAGTTCAAAATGTAACAAAAAAAAGTACATACCTGGCATTTGGCGCCTCTGGGTCCAAGTACAAGCCTTTGTACGCCTCCACCACAGCATCCCGAACGGCTGTATCACGCGACCAAATCAGTACCAGCATCCTTCGCACGCCAATAATAGCAGACTGCAAGCCAAACTCAGAGGCGACCACAAAGAATTCGATAGACTCATTCACATCCGTGATGCTTTTGGAGCCGAGAAGTTGACACAAGGTAGGGATGGCTCTCTCCATTTGGGTTTGAAAATGTACGTAATCCTACCAATTAAAACAATTTATCTTAAAATTTACTCCTGTTTGTATAACGAGCACATTTTCACCCCTCACAGGTCAATTGGAGGCAGACGATTTTCTTGAGTTGAGGAAATAGTTCTGGGCCCAGTTGTTCAAAGGCCGATTAGCCCTAACCCAGGGTTAAATTTTAATCCAGCTTTCTTTATTTCTTTGTTCAAAAGCCTTTTAGGGAAATTTTCACTATTCTTTCTAAAACATCCAATGATCAAATTGCAAGCAAAAAGATTTGAACTGAATTTTCTCTTAAAGTTTTCAGGCCTAAAATCAAATTTGACACTAACCCTGGGTTACTTTAACCCAGCTTTGAACAACCCGGGCCAGGTGTATTTAACGTCTTTTTGCAGCACAAATCGTTTCCTGAGAGCGCAAAAAAGGTTGACAGGTGTGAAAAACTCAATAATAAGTAAATTCTTCGAGTGGTAAATAGAGGGAAAAAAAATCAAATAAAAATTTGTTGTAAGCAAAAGATTGCTCTCAAGACGCCAGCAGTCGATAAGAAAGTCGTTATATATCCTGGTTAAACCTTCGGTAAGGGCGCTTTTTCTTGAAATGTCGTGAAACCAACCAGAGTAATCACAACTGCTAAAAAGAACTGGGATCCACTCATAACATGCGAAGTAAATATAAACTAAGTGCGTAACCTCAAGCGCGGAAAATGCTGGTGATCAAGTCGCAATTGGCTACAGTTAGTTATCTTATTGGTAGAAAGGGTGCACTTAGGGCGACTTTTACCGCCCAATCACAAAGCGCAATTGAGCCATATCAGTTCAATTGTGGATAAATATTTACGCTTGGTTGAAAATAGCGCAAGGCCAGTAGTCATTATTCAGACTAATTACCTTCAGAAACTGAACCACCATCTGTTGTTTGGTGATTTCATTAACCAATCCATTGTTAGGCCTTTCCGCTGACGTATCACGGTTTTCATGCTCAGCGGAAACTTCGAGAAGTTCGGTAGGATCAATGTCTTTGCCTTCAACATGAGGTGTAGGTTCTTCGTTGTCGCCAGCTTGAGAAACAACACAAAACAAAGGGAAAATATAAGAACATCATGATCATCTCATGGGATTAGGTTACGACATGACTTCGCCGTGAATAGTCCCTCGGAGTCCCATCTGGACAATGTGATTAGCTCACAAAGGTCATGATGACGAGGAGTAAATTTGAGTTTAAGTCTTGTTAGATTTGTAGTTAGGTGTTAAGAGGGAAAGTCTCGTGGGCTGCAAGGACACTATCGCTTTATTCCCTCCTGGACCCCGTGGATCATACAACACCCGCGAACCAACTTTCCCCTCTCCCTCCAGAAGGCTAAATCGGACTAACGGGACCTTTGCCAAACTACGGCAGTGAGGAAAATGTATTATCACTGCTATACTATGAAAAACATGAACGTAAAATTTCGTCTTTTGAAGAACTCCAGTTATTTTTCGTTCGCAACATCCTGACGATGGTTGTAACACCGATTCAGAAAACTGAATCCACCCAAATATTGGCAGTTGTGTGGAAATTAAACAGAAACATCTTTTTTTTTTTTTAATCGGCGTGGTCCTCAACATCCCGTTATAACTGCCAAAGGACCTTAACAGAGTAAGCTTGAAAACAGAGGTATATAACATACCCAGAAATACTGCCTGCATGATTGACAGCTGCTCTTCAGCTGATCTCTTGCTGAAATGAAATTTTGTAAATCTGTTTTAATTAAATGATTTTATCTCAGAAAATGCTACAAAAAAAAAAAAAAAAAAAAAAAGAATTGGTGCCTGTGGATTATCTATTGATTGATCTACATGAGGCACCATTACCCCTTTAACACCCTAACATCAGTATGCATATTCTCCATACTGTTCTCAACACATTCCCTAAGGTGCACTCAAGGAGAATTTGTCTAATAGTCAAGATCTTCTAAAGTTGGTGATCATTTCCTCTATTCCTGTGTCCTTAGTGCTTGATTTAGGGCTGATATTTCAAGGAGAAACAAGATGTTAGTCACTCTTAGGAGTCAAAAGGTTAAGGCAACACTGTGAGCCAAGAGATCAATCTTGTTGTGTCAAGAAGTTAATGGCTTTCATTATCTTGTTCAACTGGCATAAGATGAAGAGAGTAACTTGCTTACATGACATATTTTCACAGTTTAGAAACGAGCCATTGTAGGCTACAAGGGAGCACAATCATTCTCATACCAGTACCTTTCTTCATCTTCCTGCAGCTCTGGATTCCTTTCAGCACGGACAAACATTGTGTACTCTGGCCAAGTAACCATAGCAGCCTTCAGTACTGCAAGGGCTTTCTTATGATGACCTTTGTGAAGATGACCTCTAATCTGCTTTAGTGCACTGTAAAGCACATAGACAACATAGAGATGTTGTTGAAAACCCTGGGTGAAGACCCTAAAAATTAATCAACATGACAAACAGTAAGTCTAAGGTCCTTACCATTCCAGAGCAGATTCCTGATCTCCTTGAAACTCCACTGCACCATCTCCTTCATCAATAATCTCCTCCAGATCAAGATATTCCTCAATAGTGGCTTGCACTTCAGGTTTAATGGCCTCCCAGATTTTCTTGACATCCTCAACTTCAAGGACAGCAGGCACTAACAGCACATGAAACCAAATTAAATCTCTCAGTTCAAAATGAAATCTTTTGAAAAATAATCATTATTGAAATCACCATCATTCCCTGTGCATGTGCAAGACATGAGATGATGGGAAAGATAACCAATGGGTAAAGAATTGTGGGTACTTTAGTATTATCAACTGAGTTGATAACATAAACTGGCCACTGTGAAGAGTTTCTAAGCTGATGTTTCGAGTGTTAGCTAATGCTCAAAATGTCAACTTTGAAACTCTTTACAATGGCCAATTTATGTCATCAACTCTGTTGCTAATACTAAATTACCTTGTTATACTCTCCCACCAACGCAGCACCAGTTTCTTAAGAAACTTTCTCCCTTTATTCATTTGTAAAGAATTGAGTGGACTGTTGAGACAAACATGTACAAGTCACCCAAGGACAAGAGGAGTGATCTATAGAACACTGGATCTGACATACCACTGCCTTGACCACAGTCTAAACGCTCAATTGTTAGTGCAGATTAGCTAATCATACTCTTGAATTCCATTATCCATTGACCTAGTTCTTCACAACAACAAAAAATGTATTTTTAATCACACACCATTAATATCAGGCCACTCTAATAATATTTCTACACAGCTCAGTGGATCCTGTAACAAGTGGCATTAAATGCCCATTGCAATATTGTGCTCTTGGAATTAAGACACTTGCATGTATTTCTTGTGGAGCTGTAGTGAACCTTTAGAGTAATTACATCCTCTCCCAATGAAGTTTACTAAGTTAATAATGTACAAGAAAAATTATGTGCTTCTGATTGGCTAAAATCAAGTGCATTTTCATGTACAACACGTGTGCAAAGTTGTGACACGAGTGCAAATTGCAAATAGCCTGAACTCTTTCAAAATTTGTCTGTCTTGACTTTCTGTGATGGTTTTTCATGTAAATTATTAACAAGTAATGAAACGATTTCTCTTGCAATTTGGTGAAATAAGCACATGTAAATTTTTCAAAGACTAGAGAAATTGCACTTGGTCTTGGGGCGAATGCAATATTGATGTCATGGCCTATAATTATTTGTTGCTAACTTATCTTTCAACAACTTGGTTGAACCGGTTTGGGTCAACTAACCTCTCTGCCCATTTTAGCTCCTTTATTTGTTACTTAAACTCCTCTTTTGATAAAGTTAGCCAACATGCTGTTCTGACTACATGTAGCAGTACTTTCAGAAGTGGTACCATGTATTGAGCCAGCCCAAACTGTTCTTTTGTTTGAGTCTTTGTGGAGGAGCCTTGAACCTAACCATTTAAATGAAAACATTTAAAACACCATACCTTGGCCATCATGTTCCTCACATAACTGTGGAGCCATTTCCTTTAGTTTTGCAGTTTCTTTTGATAAGTTCTGTCGCAAATGATCCAAAGGTAACTACAGAGACATGAAAATATCAGAGAGGGGTTTGTATTTTTTTTTTTTAACATTTGTAACACCAGTCACATTCTGTGAAACTTCCCCTACTTTTGTGACCTCGGGAGAACCTCTCTTTTTTGTTTCAACTGCTCAGCTCTGTACTTAACAGGATCTTATTTGTGTGTGACACTGAGTCTTAATAGATGGGGCAATGGGGCAGCAAGAGACTGTTTTGCCCACTTGCTTATTTTTCTTCAGCTTTGCCAATTACTACTGCACTGCTAATGAGAGCCTGTCATGATTGTCATTAGAAAATGCACTAGATGCATAATCTGAACTGAAAAGGCTCTTACTCCCTCTAAGGGGGGGAGAGGGTCAGAGGGAATTTCCTTTCCCTCTTTGATCACAATTCATACAGTAGTCAGCGCAAAATGGCAATCCTGCATGTACATAAAATGCGATTCTCTTTTCCAGCACACTGCAGTTAATGTTTGGCTAACAGTTGCTAAATGTTTACTGGTCTAAACAACAGACTTGCCGAGAAAATAATAGCTTTAACTACCAAGTATTACTCACAACATTAAACAAACTTCTGCATTAACTCACCTGTGCCCCAAAGGGATTGCAAATGAGAAATGTTTTCAGAAGCTGAATAGCATTTTTGCGCACAATACTAGATTTATCTTGAAGACGATTTATCACTAGTTCCAGAAGGTGAGGCTGGCGTGAAAGGGGAATTGCCTGTAAAAAGGATAATATGTGTATTATCTTGTCATTTCTGTAAATGTTTACCACAATAGAGTCAAACAAAGCCATATACTTGTAGACTTTGTGTTTTGTTTGTCTGTTCAGTCTTGGTTACATTTTCCTGTAAAAACTGAGCAGACATTTGACTCAGCTGTTACCAGGCAGTTAATGTAAGTTTAGAGTTGCATGGAGTATCTAGTGTGTTATGGCCATTTGTTCATTATTCAGTGGGTCTGATAGGAGGGACTTTATTTCCAATGGGAAGTTGGTTCATCTATTTTGGTCACAAGTGTCACTAACCTCAAAAAAGGTTTTTTGACAAAAAAAATCTTCTTGTCTTTCCGATAACAAAGTTGAAAAAAATTCATGTCACATTTATTTTAGTTATTTTTTTTAATGAATTTTCAAAGATCCCAAAATTGGCCTCCTCCATGTTCAGGAGAAAAAGGGAGAATGGAGCAGGTTGCCTAATGACATCATCCTGGGAACCAATTCAACATTATTCATATCATTTTGTGAAAAGCAGTCGAACTACAACTTAGGAAAGAACTATGATATAATTATGCCTAGAGAGTGTCAACAGAGGCTGCAGTGATACAGCTTCCATAGAAGATGGCTCACTCTTCATACCAACCTGCATTTGGAGGAAAACCATCCAGAAGCAAATAATTGCATGAGAAAATAGGTTGATTGCTCATAAATATGTTTATAGGCTGGCATGACTCCTGCCGTTTGTGAGCGATTTTAAATCTTTGGCTTTTAAAGTTTAGCTCTGACCAGGCTATCTTTTAATGACTTTTGTTTTTTATATCATAATTGGGGTGGCTCCTTAAATATCACTCTAGAGTACATTTGGTTCTGAATAAGGAGCAATTTCCCCATCTCTGTTTTCTTTGAGGATATTGTGTATAAAAAGGCAGTCTTTTCTTCTGCGTACTATTTTCTTTGTTTTTGAGAGCTCTTTCTCTCCCAGTAAAAATTAACTGCAGAGATATATTTGTCCAAAATTATGTCTGGGTATCCTCTACTCTTAAAGGCCATTTTGAAAATCAGTATGTTTTTATCAAACATGAATCGTGATAAATTTATTTTTGGGAAATGTAGTGCTTCCCCATTTACAAATTCTTTCTTTACACTAGGGGGAAAATGCAAATAAAAATTTGTGTATTGGAAGGTCTCCATCTGTTTGTAATGCGTTTGTAAGTCAAGGGTTGATTCCCTTTTGATCTATTGCCTTTACACACTTAGGTGTCTGAGAATGTATTTTCTGAGGCAGATTTATCAGCCATAAGTTTGTTCATCTGTCATTAGTTCATTTGACAGGTTCCAGATATGCAGCTTGCATGACTCAATCTTTTATCCTTCTACCTTTCTTTCTGTTTCTTTTAGGTTTTTCATTGCCACCTCGTAGCACGGTTCCCAAGATGACATAACACCCTTTCAGACCCAGGTCCCAAGATGTGCAGCCATGAACATTAAAAAATTGAGCTTTAGAATGCTTGCTTGTAAAATTGACAATTTTCTCGATGTGATGATCCGTAAAACACAAAAATTCTTAATCGTTTCAAAAAAAAAATTCAGGGTTAGTGACACTTTAGAGAGAAGTTTATTTCATTCACATGCAGAGAAATTAATGGTTTGCAAGCAGCAAGTACACCCCAGAGTGGAGAAATGTTCAACTAATTACCACTGAATCCACTGGTACATATAATTTAATCATGCTCAGTACCTGTGGCTTAAATACAAAGAGGTTCACAGTATTCATGGTGTAGTGGCTAAAGTTACCTCTTTTTTACAAAGCTCAAGCCAAATGTGGAGGGCTTTACTTCTTACGTAAGCATTGACATCATGAATGTGGTCCTAATGAGAATAAAAAAAGTTAAAATGTATACATGTACACATAGTTATCACCCCTAAAAACATCTCCAATATTATTGGACATTTGCTTTTCAAAGTAACAAAAAATTGAAAACATAAAAATCATTGCATGATAAACTGAGTTATACTGGAATTTTAATTGGTTCTTAATAATGATATACAGTGGATTTCATATTGTTGCCATGGGTCTGTACAGTAAAAGAGGATGTCAAAATGTGGTTGTTACTGACACACTCAGCTGCACCTTGTTTGCCACTTATTTTTTTTTACCACATTTTGACTTTCTCTGTCACTCTATTCCTAAACAGATGCACAGCAACATGGAATCTTGTTGTTAAATATGCAATATTTTTCATTATTCTTTCTTGGGTTATCCAGGAAAAAACTACAGAATTTATACCATTCCCTTCATTACAACCACTTTTTGTGCCCCTGATGGATTGAAAGTCTTGTCATGTCCATTAATTTTGTACCCTAGTTGATCTGACTGTGATATCATTACAAATATTTTAAGAGTTTGAGTATAACATGACTGCAGGTGTGCATTTTTTCTTTAAATTTTCATAATAAGTCTTATGTGCATTTGTTTCTTCAGGCATAGTGCTCACCTCCATTTTGTCTAGCAGTTGATCTCTAAGTTTCTTGGCAGCATCATCAAGATCTTCCTTGGAAAGGACTTTGATGACAATTTCACCCATCAAGGCAAGGATACCATTCCGCATTGAATAAGACTGTAATGAAATTATATCAATATATAGGACATCGTAAAATTTATAGTAAGCATTTGCAAGCTCATTAACTTCATTTTTACTCAATGATCCATTTCCTAAAAAATAATTTTCCATATGCTTCCATGAATGCTCATCTCCTGATCATAACTCTGAAGACTTGCTTGGAAACTAAAACATTTTCTTCAGGTTCTCATTGACCAATAAAACGAATATCATAAATTAGTCAAAATTACATTTTTACTCTATTTTGGGTAAAAAAAGATAGACAACCATTACTTAGAAATTATGAGATTTACCTCTCCATCCAGGTGACAAAGTAGTACACTGATGTTGGGGATGATCTGACTTGGGACCCGACCAGCAAGTTCTACAAGGAAGTCCGCATAAGCACGTGTGCCACTGGTGTCTCGTGCCAGATCTCTTGGATCCATGCGACCAATCTCTCTGTAGAATCAAAAACAATTACATGTATTGAACATACATACACTGTAAACTCCTAGTTAAAAGGCCCTAAGCTCAGAAGACTCTGTCAGATATTAAAAAGATTAAAGGCAGTCATTTCTTTTTAGTATCATCCATTACGACAGGATATGAATATGGAAGCCATCTTTGCAGTATTGAATACTACTTAAGCAGTGGTAAAAATAAGTCCTGAAAACAATTCAAAACTGATTATTTTAGGCCTAAATTTCACTTTTCTCTACTGCTTAAGTAGTGTTCATTACTGCAAAGATCACTTTCATATTCATTATTTAAACCACAGTTCACATATATATGATTTTCATATATTCACTGTCATTGGACAGAAAATGTTGGTTCACTTGGTAAACTACACTGGGAAGGGGAAGTACTGGTAAAGTTGTAGTCTAAAGTTTGAGCAAGAGCTCTCATATGGGAGTATAGAGTAGAGCTTAAATCTAGAAGGGGGGAGGGGAAGAGAGTGGGCTTAGGAGCACATCTAGTGCTGAGGGCATCCACCTCAGTATTTTCACTCATTCAGATTACCACAGTCAACAGACTTGTTGCCAATTTCCCAGTTAGGTATGACTGTAAAAGTCATACCTCATGGGCATTTCATATGTAAGACATTTATTTTGTAATTCTGTAGTTAAATGCCACTTTTCATCAACTCTGTCATAGCTAAGCTGTTTGTAATAAATCCAGTGTATCAAATCCTCTTGAAGTGTGAAATAACTTGGTAACATAGATAGTTTGATTGACATCAAAGAAAAGAATCTGACACCAGAAATGTATAACATGGGCAATTTGTATAAAAATTAGAAATAAAAAAATTACACACATTCTACTCAATTCATGTAAAGTGTAACACTTGTACCACCTCACCTTATAACTTCAGAGACAACACCTTTAATAGAAAACTCGTCAACAAATGTTTGTACAGCCTGAGCCAGTGGCTGGACAAGATGCTCAAAGTGTTGTAAAAGCTGAACAATCTTCAGACTGATGCCTAGGAGAAAACAATATTGGGAGAAATACTACAAATGATAAATAACAATCACAAGACTGTGTCTTCTCTGTCAGTTCAATTTAATATATCAATGTTTATGCAAGTTTACAAACAAATTCACTCACCCTATTTAAAAAGAGTCACAATCATTTTAATTCCATAATTACCTTGCAAAAGAATGTGTTATTCCAATAATTATTGTGGCAGCATTAAATTCACAATTCAGAATTATAAAAATTTGACTCACCTAAACCATAGTTATATTTCTTCACCATTACTCCCAGGAGATTAAAGATCAGATCTTTCGTTGTTCCATTCTTAACAGATGTTGGGTTCTCCAGGAATTTATAGCAACAGCCAGTGACTAAACTGATAAAAAAGCAAAACAGATAGATAATATACCAAAATATTCTTAACAGTGATGTGTCAATAACAGAAACCAATCTCCTTCAAGTGCAGTTGAACTTGATCTAAACAAGATTCTCCACCCATACTTGACAAATTCTTCTTCTATAATGGGTGGATCCCACAGTCTGTTTACATCAAGCTGCATCAGTTGTCCTAAGGTTTGAATCAGAATGTCACGCTGTTCTTCCCACTCCCAAGAAGATGATGTCTTTTTCTTTGAATTGGTGGCCTTTCCCTTCCGCTTGAAAACCAAAAGATAGATAAAATGAAGTTGCAATCTAAACATGATTATCAAATGTAAGAGGAAACCAACATCCAATTAAGTTTTGTCAGTATCTTAAGTAACATTAATATTTTTAGTCATTTTTGGTTTTCAAGCTGATAAAATTAACCTAAAATACACTGCTAAAAAATGTATGGTTGCAGATGTTTTTTGTACCAGGACAACACATTGTCTAAATATATTATACTATAATTATTCCATGAGATCAGATTTAATATGAGATGGAAGATAGCCAATAACCATAATAATTATCTCATGTAAACCAATCAAAACTCAGGGACTACAAAATATCATGCATAGTTTTTAAACAAATACCTTTCCAGAGACTATGACCTCAGTGGAAGGCTTGGTGGCCTCTACTTCAAATGCATCTGCCAACTGCACTATTAAGTAGCACAACATCTGTAATAAAAATTGAGTGACAATGATAAAATAATTCACAAACAACAACTTTTAGTTGATGATGATTTTTCAAATTTAACAGAGCTAACAATCTTGTGCAAACCCTTGATTCTTAACCCTTTCACTCCCAGATTGTTAATTCTCCCCTCTGGCTGGTACACATTTCCTTTTAAACAAGTTACACAAATTTTATGTTAGATCAAGGTGACAGCTTATAACTGATAAGTTTAAGTATTCTTATTACCTGTTTGCTGGATTGTGTGTGGATATTGTAGGGAAGTGTTACATTTTAATCACTTCTGGGAGTTAAAGGGTTAATTTGCTTGGAATGAGACCATTTGTTTGAGTATGGCATTAAAGTCATTTCCTTGTATTTATCTGTTTTGTCTGTTTATCCACTGGATAGATGTAAGGAAAGAAAGGTTTCTTCCAGAGCCTGTTGATCAGTGGCCCTAGTCTTAACCCTCTGACCCCTAAGAGTGACTGGCATCTAATTTCTCCCTACAACATTATCCCTGAATCACACATTGAGGTCACAAGAAAAAAGGAAATGATCACCAAATAAAGAAGCTCTTGATTGTTAAACAAAGTATCTATGTCGGCCCCAGAAGAGAATATCCATACTAGTGCTAGTGTCTTAAGGGTTAAAGGATTGCAGCCCATGAAATGAAACTATAAATGCATTAACTATAACAATAATGTACTTGACGTAATTTGAATACCTTAAGAGTATTGAGATGTGTCCTTCTAACTTGAAAATCAATGTCTCCATCTTCTAAAATTTCTGGAAGTACATTTGTGAACTGGCAGAGAACTAAATGAAAGGCACACAAAATTTGTTTTTCATTAAAAGAAGTTCAACTCTTCCTTATCAAATTCCCTATGTCATGAAAAGGCCTAGTATATTTTCACACTTTTACCAGTCCTGTTGACTGGCAAATCAATGTTCAGTAGAGCTCACCATGAAATAAATAAAATTCATGTTAATGCATTTAAGGTGTAAACTTACAGTGTACAAGAATTATCATTGTAAACAGTCAAAATGACTGCTGAACCTAAAGTATGTATGGGCAAATGCAACAAAGAGATGTGTTTTTCATTGCTGTGGGACAAAAAAAATAAAAGATCTGAGTCCTCACAAATAAAATAACTTTGAATTATTGCTTTGATGCTCCACCAATGTTCTGTGGAGAACTCTGTGCTGAGCCACACTTGGTATGTAATGGCCTACAGTACTGTCAGGCTCATCACAGAGTTTCTGGTAGCACCATTGATGGTGGAGCATCAAAGCCCAAATCCAAGGGTAAGGGTTCTGGTTCTTCATGAGCAGTATCCTCCCTTATTTCAAGCACCAAAGGGAAAATAAATTTTCAAACTGGTAGAGCAATCCTTCAGCACGTTGAATTTCCAAGAATTCACGTGTTTTTTGGTACTACAAGCAGTAAATTTTGTCAGCTATCCAAGGATAGCTGTTATTTTTAGTTTTTAGCCTGGATGATACCCGTTTTCCCCGCTATAGTAAAATCTACTTGGAACTTTCTTATCAGGTCTTAATTCCATTGTATACAGTCATACATTTTCTTTTTACTGTACATATTTTTAAAACTGTTGTGTAACAATGAATACCTTCAAGCAATATATTCCAAGTGCTTTCTCGAAGAGAACTGTCCACTTCATTAAAATGTCTGCAAGGAAAAATTGTCTGATTTGAAGTTCATGTGGTTGTAAGGTTAAACAATTCTTTTTTAAAAACACAAGTACACCTTACCCTTCCAGCTGTCATTGCTACGCATTAAGCCGATTGGTAAGGGCATGTGGAAGTTGGAAAATGGTGGGACAGACATAGGGTTTAGATAAACAGTAACGAAGAAGTAATCTTACCTCAAAAGACTGAACAAGCAGTCAAAGTTTTGGACGATGGCAGTGGGTACACCAGATCGAAGATCAGACAAGCATTCTGAAAGTTGGTCAACATGACAACGTAAACAGAAAAGCGTAAAAAAGCGGCAAATGTTTCGTCAACTACAATAAAATCTACCTCGAAGTTTGTTCGGAAGAACACGCACTGAGAGAACTTCGTCCACAACGTAAGATCCTTTTTCACTGCTCAATAAATCGTCCTTACACAAGGGAATTACAAAGTCTTCATCCATAATTTGTATCTCTATTTCGGTAAAAGTGTATATAAGGTTCTGTCAATTAAAAAATAAAGGGAAACTTCACTTTTCATTCCAAATAAACACCCAGTAAAAATGGCCGCCTTTTTTCGAACGGAGAAAATCGGCCAATCAAAAAGTCTTGATACCAGTCTCTCCTCTGGCAATTTTTCTCGTTCCCATTTCTCTTCTTTCCTTCCCTACCCTTTCCCATTTGGTCGATTACTTTCAAATTAGAAATCTTTCCTTTATCTGATATTTCTTTCATAACATACCCAGATTTCCTCCTATGTTGGTACTAGATGACACAGTTAGTTCATTAATTAGCAATCCACTTACCATGTTTACAGATTCTTTTGTTTTGAGTAAGCTTTTATTTCAATCCCACAAGGCTCGTGTATTTTGAAATTTTCCCTGCTTTATTATTTCTTCCAAAAAACAAAATAAATGAAAAGAAATAATGAATGATTAAAAAAACTGATCAGCAGAATAAAGAATGATTTGAAAATGTATTATATTTACCGCCCCACCCCCACCTCCCTGCCAACACCTTAATTCCTGTGGTAGGGACTAAACACGAAATGGTCACACGATACACTTACGCGCGTGAGGAAGAAAGGAGGAAAGAAACGCGCGAGCTGAGCAAAAAACTCGCGAGCTGACTAACTCTCACGTGTAAGAAGCAGCCCTTGAACTCGGCCCCATAAATAACAAATGTTAGAAAGAAAAAGATTTCAGACCAGGAGGAGGAAAAAGTCAGCTATTTTGGTCAAGCGACTGTTAAGAAGTGCAAAAGAACCGTTGAACTGGCTGGCTTGACATCGGAAAACTCTGTGGGGAATACAGTGCTTTCAACGAAATATTTTGATTGCTTTTTCATGTCTCCCTCTGCATAAATAATTAATCACATTGCGTGAAAGGACAACAGAGAAAGTCGAAGTTAACGCGGCAAAAAGCAAATCGTACATCAACTGGTTGGATTTCAAGTTAATAAAGGGGTGAGTTTATAAAGAAACTGCGGTGCTGCGTCGGTGGGAGAGTATAGCAGGTAATTTAGTGTTAACAACTGAGTTGAAAACGTAAATTAACCACCGTAAAGGGTAAAAAAGCTGACGTTTCGAACGTTAGCCCATGGACGAAGGGCTAACGCTCGAAACGTCAGCTTTTTTACCCTTTACGGTGGCTAATTTACGTTTTCAACTCTGTTGTTAACACTAAATTACTTGGATTTCAAGTTAGTTTCATTCCACAATCAGCAATATGACTAAGACTTACGCCTCAAATTACTCCATGTTTTAGCGAATGCAAATTTAAAACAATTCTTAACCTTTTAGATGGTCGATTGCGCTCAGATCACTCTCACCATTAAAAATTAATGGAAGTTTCTTTAAAATCTTGTTAGTTGGGGAAAAAGCCAAGTATAAAGTTATGAAAAAATTTGAAAGTAAAAATTTTCAAGAAAAAGAGAAAAATTAAAAATCTGTTGGCTTTACGCCAGGTGAAACGAATGAAGAATGTTGCTTAGCGGGAAGTTGTTATCGAAAATTATTATGTTAATAATCAAAAGCCTTGAGGATTATACATTTGCATATCAAATTTAACAGTGAAAAAGTTGAAATAATTTCCTACACTAGTGGCTACGTAGCATCTGAAAAGATATCAAACATGAGCGCTAGGTTTCTCCACTATGAATTTATTTCTGTTACAGCTCATTAAATTATGTGACCATTTCAGTTCTCAAACCCGTGGCAGCTGGCTGGTGTGCATTTCGAACAATCAATCGAAAATTAACAAGGCTGAAGACAACAAGAGTTTAACAGCAGAACACAAAATGCGTGAATGATCCATGACTTGATTTGAACATTATGGAGCGTTTGTCGACAACTTTGGGAAGGAAGAAAGCAGTAGATCCCAGTACCATCCACACAACACAACTATCTCGCTGTTTGAGCAAGTTTGATTTAACCTCCCTCGGCGTCGCTGCTACTCTTGGAGCAGGAATATACATATTAAGCGGAACATTAGCGCGAGGTGTGGCAGGACCAGGGATAGTCATATCGTTCTTCATCGCTGGATTGGCAAGTTTATTGGCAGGACTCTGTTACGCTGAGTTTTCGGCGCGTGTTCCGCGCGTTGGTTCGGCTTACACGTTCGCTTACGTTACAATCGGCGAATTATGCGCTTTTATAATCGGTTGGAACTTGTTCCTTGAATATGTAATTGCAGTATCGTCAATGGCTCGCGCTTGGAGTTCGTACTTGGATGCTTCTTTGTTAAATGACGCTATCAAGAACTTTACGATCACGGGAATTGGAAAACTCGGCGTTTCCGGAGTAATCGTGAGCTACCCCGACTTTTTCGCGTTTTTTCTGGTATTAGTTGTTTCCGCGATTTTATGCTTCAAAGTGAAATTTACCTCAGTAACAACTAATGTTATAACAACGGTAAACATTCTTGTGATAATATTTATTATCATATTTGGAGCCATCTTTGCCGAGAGAAAGAACTGGACGGATGATTTTTTGCCCTATGGTTTTTCAGGCGTCCTCACAGCTGCAGCACCTGCCTTCTTTGCGTTTGTGGGATTTGATGTGATCGCAACCGCAGTGGAGGAGTCGAACAACCCTTCTAAGGATGTACCAGTCGCCATGATCCTTACAATTGGTAAGTTGTACTTGTAAGAGTTCTTGAGATCATGTATTTTTCGCACACCGTTGTATATAATTTTAACATTAATCATACACGACGAGCTTTGCTCAAGAAAAGAATTCTCACCAGGGATGCGTAAAATGATCCAT